CCCAGGCCGGGTAGCCCCAGTCGGCCCCAGCCTGGCCCGGTTGTTTCCACACACCCTTGCTTAGGTATGCAAGGAATGCAGTCAGAGACACTTTCAGTTTCTGGGTAATCAGCATGATAATGAACGATAATGAATTGAGCATGCCTTAAGCCCATGTGGGCTGATTCTACCCACCAATCAGAGGCTTGCTCTAATGGAAGGTGTGAATTTGCTGTCAGCAGTGGGTGTGTTGGCCCTGGTCGGCCTGAAGCAGACCCCCTTGAGAAGAGGGCTGAGAATGAGCCTTGGTTGGCCCGGGAAAATTCCAGGCCACCCAGATATGTAAACAACCTACGCTACCCGGCCCGGGCCGACCCGGTGCAGGTGGGAATGGGGCTTTAGGAACATCTTGGGAACTCTCCAATCCAAACCAACGTTTCCCCCGGTCTCTGCCTCTGCCACATTTTCCCTCTGCACCAGCGGTTCCCAAACTTATTTAGCCGCGCACCCACTTCTATGCCCCGACCATGTCGACGCACCCCCCAACCCCCACATCAGGGCATGGCTATTGTTGGATAAAAGCTTAATATCAAGCAGACTTCATCGCACTCCAAATGGTTGCTTGCAGGAATTTCTGTCTACTCCATTTTGCTTGAGGTGCTTAGTTACATTTGAATGTTTTTGTGTTCTACTATATAGAGCCAAACCAGCCAAACAAGGGGGGTTTCTGCCCTGGCTTGGAGCGTAGGCAGGAACATTTTCCATCCTTCCAGACCCAGAGACTCGTTGATCTAGTATCTGAAGAATGTCTTTTGTTTCCTGTGCATTCTAAGACCAAGGGAGTTTTTGTGGATGGGTGTGTTTGTGCCAATAAATACTCACTGCAGTTTGTAACCCATTGTGAGAGGAAATGGCTGTCATGTCTGGTGTTTGATTCTCTCACCCTTTGCAAAGTGTCACACTTTGCAGAGTTTATTGTCTGTTTAGAGGTTGTTTACAATTTACCAAATTATGAATCTAATCCCTCTGTGTGTGCTCTGACTTTCTTTGAGGTAATATAAGAACAATATTAGAAATTACCCAACAGCTATATATATGTATATATCAGACGTCAAGCTAAACAGTCACTAAACAGACAGGGTTAAAAAAATATGATCGACCTTTTTCCCATCACTTTCATTTTTTAAATAGTAACTAATAAACATTCAATACCATTACAATTTCCTTTGATTTATTTTAAATAAATATTTAGAGTGCCCAGGTAGCACATAAACAATGCAATTTAATGGTTTTCTTAAAGTAGGAACATTTAACCTGTGGCCAGAGCTCTCTCCTTCCTTCTGCGTAAACCTGAACTGGTCACCTACTTGTGCGTAATCAAATGTCTATAGGGGAAAAGATGGAAAAGATATTGCCATGAGGTTCACTTTTGCCTCAGACCGACTTATTGCTGTTTTATGGTGTGGCTGAATCTGCGATCCGCTGCCATGCGGACTGGAATAAGAAATGCTGCAGTAACATGAGTTGTAGTCAGGTTCATGAGGAGTCACTGGCTGGAGCGGACTCGACTTTAATACGTCATCCCAAAATAGAAGCTAATATCTTAATTTGACCTTGAATGAAAAATATTGTTATAAAACCTCTTAAAAGTTTTTATCACGGAGGAGGCAGCGCTATTTCTGCCTTTAGTCTGACGGTGCGGCGCCGGAGTTTGCGTAGCGTGCGCTTATTGAATCTCTCTGTGTGTGTGTGTGTGTGTGTGTGTGTATGCGTGCGCACGACACAGCTCAATGAGCCGCTCCAGTCACCGCGTCTCGTTATTGGCACTAATTAAACCAATGTTGTAAAATTACTTATGCCCAGCCCAGATGTGCTCACATGTGCACCCGTGAGCCGTGGTTCCGCTGGAACGCGTGTGACCTCTGACAGACGCACTCTGAACTTCAGATCTTCAGCGCGGTGTTAATAGCCTGACACGTTTAGAACGCTGTCCCACAGTCAGTGTGCTAATATAATAATATAATAGTGTTAAAATGCTCAGATGGGAATCATTTCTTGATTTATTCTGTTAAATCCACAATGTTCTGTGTGTGAGGTTTACAATGTCAGAACACCTGCATGAGACAGGTGTTAATTACAATCTGCCAGAATGACTCGCCACCTTCAGATTCCTCCAACACCGATAAAAATGATCAAATACGGAACATATCGGCGTGCGCAGGCCAGAGCGCTGAAGCTTGGCGCGTTGTTATTATGAAGTTAGGGCACATGCGTTGGACACACACACACACACACACACACACACACGTGCGCGCAAAATATAGGCTACTTGTTTTCAATTACATTTATTGGGCCCACTTACTTTTTCTTAGGCCCACCCACAAATGAGTTTCTGGCTACGGTAATGGGGACATTTGGCAGACTTCTCTGAGCTCCGCAGCCATTACACTTTTCACCTCTAGTGGCAGCTCTCACACCCCCAGGGGTGCACGCACCACACTTAGGAAATCCCTGCTCTACACTGACCCCTCCAACAGTACTTGGCTGCAGAGACCCAGCTCATGCCCAAACCCTTACTCCTTTAATAAAGTCTCATTTTATATATTTAACTCCTGTGTGTGGCTGAATTCCAGGTCTCCAGAAAACCCTTTACAAAAGCAAGCTAAAAAGTTGTACTATATGCTGACATTATTCTATTCATTTAGTCTTCTTTCAAACAAACAGTTCCCAGCTTTGTATTTCTCCTTTATACATAAAAATGTCTAATGAGCTACGTATTATGTTCAAGATATTTTCAACTCTATGTTTTGGCTGAAGCCCTAAATTTAGTTTAACCTTTCTTCCCCTTTTTGACAACTTTGCCAGTCTCATAGTGAGGACCATTAGGATCAGACACTATGGATGATCTCAGCTCCTCAAGAATTGAACTAAATGATACAAAATAATCACTAAAACTGTAAAAATTTCTGAGCAGATGTGAGTTTCAGACCCCAAGCAGCTTAGATTTTTTTTTAGATTTCTACAGCTGATTAATTGTAATCATTGATTATAATTTCAGCTTTATTGCTCTTAGATTAGCAGCACCTTTATTCTAATAGTTAACTGACTGTGCCGGTGCGTTCACTGGGATCAGCTGACTGCTTGCTGATCTCCACTCCAACCATAAACTATAAAACAAGTGGGAACAGGCCTCTGGAATCCTCTACCCACAAAAATTCAACTGTTCAAGTCACGACTGAAGACCTACTTCTATGATTTGGCTAATGACTCCTTTTAATGTTTTTTTTCTTCCTTTTTAAAATTTTTATCAGACTGTAATCTGTTTTAAACTATCTTTGCACGATTGTTGCCTGTGCAGCGCTTTAGTCAGCTCACATGCTGTTTTGAAATGTGCTTTACAAATAAAGTTGAAGTGAAGTGAATATCCAGCTTGTAGCCATACAGGTGAAACTCGAAAAATAAGAATAGTTGATTTATTTCTGTAATTCATCCCAAAAGGGACAGCAGTAGGTCAGGAGGTAGAACAGGTTTTCCATTAATCGGAAGGTTGCAGATTTGATCCTGGCTCCAAATAGAGAAATCTGCTCTTGTGTCCTTGGGCAAGACACTTATTAACCCACCTTGCCTGCTGATGGTGGTCGGAGAGACTAATGGCGCCAGTGTTTGGCAGGACTCGCCTCTGTCAGTACGCCCCAGGGCAGCTGTGGCATAGCTCATCCCCACCAGTGTGTGAATAAGTGTGTGAATGGATGAATGAATGACTGTGTTGTGAAGCACCTTGGGGGGTTGTAGAACCCTATGAAAGTGTTACACAAACTAATATATGAGATAGACTAATTACATGCACAGCCAGATATTTCAAGCCCTTATTTGTTATAAACGTGACAATTACGGCTTACATCTTATGAAAACTTCAAGTTCAAAATCTTAATTAGAATATTGTGAAAATGTTGAATATTCTATAGAATATAGTCTCAAAGTGTCACACGCAAATCAGCTAATGAATCCAAAATACATGCACAGGGTTCCTGAGCCTTTAAGCCGAATTACTGAGATAAACTGAGTTTTGCACCATAATCAAAATTTTCAAGTTTCACCCGCAGTTTTTGTTTGTGTGGGAAATGTTTTAGGGTATTATGGTTGATTTTTCCTTTACACTTGATCTTTTGCTAGTCCATCAGATGCCATGGGGGCATGTGTGTGTGTGTGTGCGCGCGCGCGTACGTGCGTGCTTATGTGTTTAGCCCCAATAGTTCATTCTTCATTTTAGCGTATGTGTAATTAAACGTCATAAGAGTGTTAATTCCTCCTTTGCCGCAGCAGGAACAAAGAAGTGTTTTATTTATTTTTGCTTAGCCCTTGTAACGAAAACCGACATTTTATTTAGTAATAGATTAATTCAAAGCAGGACTTGGATATACGAGTTCAACCGCACTGCGTGATGATGGGAACAGAATAATGGAAACGTTTTTTTCTTTAAAAAAGAGCTGAAAAAATATAAATTCGTTACTGCGTCACATAATTACAGTCCCTTCTGATTTACAGGTTAGTGTGGATCCAAACAGGATTCAAATATCAGAATAAAACAAAAAAGAAAAACATCAAACAAAAACGCAAGGGCTTGTTTAATTAATTGATAATTTTTTGGGGGTCATATTTAACATTTCTCATCAACCGTGACCTCACAGAGAAATGCAAACTAGGCACAGAAAAACGCGCTCTAAGGATACAGATGGATTACATTTTGGCATCATCCCAAAGTTAACTCTAAAACCACCTCCTGGTGCTTTGTCAAAAACAAACAATGATTTTTTTAAGTAAACAACACGTCCAGCGCTGTTTCAACTTTTTAAAATGATTTTAGTAGAGAATAAAATAATCATAAACTGTAGAAAGATGAATAGTCCTACAAGTATTACTGCAATAACCGTCGGGCGCTAGTCTTAAAACTCACAAAAAGCCTTTTTCTCTATTATTCTAATTTATTTCTCTTGTATTGTGGTAAAGAAACAATTACTTACAGTAGGATGACAAGAAAAGCGCAGGTGATCATAATATGGGATTTGGGCGTGTTTCTAATCATTTTAGATCAGTTACAGAAACAAGAAATAAACGACAGAAATAAGGATCGCAGACAGAAGCTAACGAGCGCGTTGATCGTCAAGCGGATTGTGTAGATGACGGAGGAATAAACAGACGCTACGGGGATGTAACAGAAGGGAGGAGCGCGAAGGAAGGGGTGGAGGGGAAGGTCTTCAAACTGAAGATGAGTAAAAGGAGCGAGCCTTGGTTTCATTTTCAATTTCCCCGCTTTCTTTTATTTTTTATAATTTTATGCAGAATGCAAATGGCAACTTGACTCAGAGGTATTTAACTAAATATTTACAGGTTATAATGCAAAAGTAAACATTGCATAAAATGCGTATTATAATGATACTAACATTTTATTCAATATATCCTTAATCCAGAGAACACATTTGTATCTTTGACTGGTTTCAGTGGGATGGGAGGGGGGGTGATAGCCTCAAAAACCCGTTCAGCGGGAATAATTAAGCAAACTTTGATGTTTTGTCTCCCAAAATAACACGCCTGAAAGCGTTACCTTGTTGTGGAGTTGCTGATGCTATGGGTTAGTTTCTGCTTGCAAGGGCGCCCCCAAGTGATGCCACCCCCAGGAAAAGTCAGTGTTAATCATATTAATGTTCAGTCAAGTAAGTAAATTTTATTTATCTAGCACTTATCACAGACAGAATCACAAAGTGCTTCACATAGATCAAAACAAAATAAAACAGTTATAAAATCATAATGATCTCAAAGCAGAAATAGATTCAGGAAAAATAAAGTCGTAAAATTATAAACTTTCATAAACAGAAAGATAAAAAATTTGAGTGAAAAAGAAAAGATTTAGGTAAACGCAGTTTTAAATAAAATGGTCTTAAGCTGTTTTTTTAAAGTGTCCAGACTGTTGATGCTGCGTAAGGATAAAGGAAGATCATTCCAGAGTCGGGGTGCAACAGTCTGGAAGGAGCGATCACCTCGACTTTTATATCTGGTCCTTGGAACTTCTAGAAGGTTCTGGTGTGTGGACCTAAGCAGTAGCGGTTTTAGGCACGGGCAGACAGGGCAGTTGCCCGGGGCGGCATTTTTTCATGACACAAAAGGGGCGCACAAGCGCTGATAAAAAAGAAAGAAATCTGCGCCGCACCGAGGTTTTCTATTCTATCTGTCATATCACAGTGTCTGGATTGGAAACAGCAAGTTGGCACCCTCTGCAGCTGCAGGCGCTCCTGCTGACTGACCCCAAAATTCCACTATCTGCGCTCTGCTCCGGCACGAACTCTGCAGCAAAAACGGTCCTGTTGTAGTCAATCAGAGCTGTCCCACTACTGCGGCCGTGTGGCGCAGTGCCATCCGGCAAAAATAGGATAGATTCTGTTTTTGCCGGACGCCAGAGCGCCTCCGTAGTCAATGGACAGAAATCACAACCGCCCAACAGGAAAAGGAGCAAGCACAACTTCTGTTATTTCACAATAAATCGATAAACAAAAAGCGTTTTTTGTTTCATACGCACAGGTTTAACAACTTTTAACAACTATCAATGGCGGTTGAACTTTAAATGCACAAAAATAAGCCATAAATACAGTTTCCACTATCAAAGTAGTCACACTTTGTTGATCAAAACACTGCTGATCTCTCAACACAAACGATAGGCAGATTAAACAGTTCATTTCGGGGGGATGGGGGGGGGGGCCTCAAAGGGGGCCTCGCCCCGGGAGTTACTCCATGTAGAACCACCACTGGACCTAAGGGCTCAGGTTGGAGCATAACGCTTGAACAGTTCAGTAATATAGGGAAGAGCTTGACCATGTAGAGCATTGAAAGTTATAGTCAGGATTCTAAAATGATCTCTAAAATTAATGGGTAACGAGTGCAGAGACATTGGAATAGGAGTGGTGTGTGCTCTTTTGTTTGCTCCAGTTAGAAGTCACGCTGCAGAGTTCTGGACCAACTGAAGGCGGTCAAACGCTTTTTTGTTAAAACATGTGAAAAGTGCGTTACAGTAATTGTGCCTGGTTTGATGGGGTCACTTTCGTGAAGCGCATTTGTAGTCCTCGCCTTATTTTCACACAAAACCTAAAATAACATTCCCCCGTTCGAAAATAAGCATCCTAACAGTCACGGACATCATACGTAAAATCCATGGAACATAGCTGTCATGTTGTGACGCAAATGTCTAACCCACGACATACAGAATTAGTTCACTGACTATGGTGAAAGTTCAAACAATAATTTATTGAGGGAAAAACCAAGGGAGCAGCATAAAAGTAGCTGAGATCTTCAACAGGGGTCAGGTGCGGGAATCTGCAGACAGATGGAAGTTAGATCCAGCTCGAAAGGGCAACAGAGGATCTTAGTCTTGAGAGAGGAAATAGTTGCGCCGGGGGGGGGGGGGGGGGGGGGCATAGTTGGTCCGGTCTGGGTCGCTGAAGCTTCTAGGAGCTGGGATCCAGAGTTGGAGGTGGAAGGAGCTGAGCGTGAAGATGGTGCAGATCCAGGTGAATATCGGTGGGCTACTGAAGGTGGAATTGTCCAGGGAGGGACTGAAAGACGAGCGGGAGTAGAAGTTCTCCAGAACACAACAAATGCTCAAAGGCTAAAATACTCGAATATATGATTCTCAAGATGGCTGTTAGAAGGTACCCAGGTAGAGTAATCATCCAGCGAAGACATGGCGTCTCTCAGTTGCTTACATACTCCCTGGCCGGCTGATGAGCTGATGATCTGCAGCTTGGCCACCTCCAGAAACGCCCACCTGCAGAAGGAAAAAACCCAGACCGTGACAATAGCAGAATTAGAAAACAGAGTTTTTAGCCCCATTGACTTGCATTTATGTTACCGTTCTTCTGAAGTATGGGTCCCCGGAAAAACAAAAAAAATTGATGCAAGTCAAAGGACTGCCGCGTTTGGACTTTGGAACCAGCTTTCAGGCAATATTAGACAGGCATCTTCTCTGGTCTTTTTTAAGTCGCTCCTCAAGACTCACTATTATTCACTGGCTTTTAACACTGACTGATTATTCTTATCCGAAGTTCCGACTGAAACGTGTCAGCCAAAGTAAAAAAAAACAAACATCTAAATTACTACACTGTGTTAAATAAGAAAAAAAGATGATTATGAACCAAAACACAGAACATTCAGAAGAGTTTGGACTTGTTTAAATTGCAAAATAGAAGTGGGGCCAAAGTCCTCCCAGGGAGCCAACGTCTCTGCTGACCCCAATAGACACCCCTGTTCCCAAACGCACCTGGGGAAGGGAAAAATCTAGCCAGGGCCCACAGCAGCAGCATCACAGAGCCCCATGGAGCCCAAGGCCATCCACTCAGCCCCACCCCGGCAGAATATCTACTCCCACCCATCAACTTTGAGACAACATGATATATCAGACACCCAGACAGAGTTGGATCCTCCCACTTCTGGAGATCCCCCTCCCCCGTGATGGAAAGTAGGAGTATTCCTACCAGTTAAAGAGGAACAAAGGTCAACCCAAGACCCCTGGCCAGGGCCTGGCACTGCAGTGTGAACTCACCCATGCCACATGCAGCGTACAAGCCAGGACCCAATCCCCCTAGAACAGTTCAGACCCACATCCAGGGACGGTCAAGCCCACCCAAGCCGCCAAGTCCTCACCCAGACCCACTCAGGAGCGACATATGGGCCATTCTCATCTGTACCGGGTTGGCCCGGGCCGGGTAGCCCCAGTCGGCCCCAGCCTGGCCCGGTTGATTCCACACATCCTTGCCTTAAGCCCATGTGGGCTGATTCTACCCACCAATCAGAGGCTTGCTCTAATGGAAGATGTGAATTTGCTGTCAGCAGTGGGTGTGTTGGCCCTGGTCGGCCTGAAGCAGACCCCCTCGAGAAGAGGGCTGAGAATGAGCCTTGGTTGAACCAGAAAAATACCAGGCCACCCAGATATGTAAACAACCTACGCTACCCGGCCCGGGCCGACCCGGTACAGATGGGAATGGCCCAAAAGCTATCAGGAAATGATGCATGGTCACTTTCACAGAACCCCTGAGGCCCCACAAATGGCTGATTGACGGACACCCGCCAAGGCCACCAAAGCACCACCAGGTCAGAGCAGCAGCCCCCCAGCGCCAGACCCCCCAATGAACCCACCCCATAAAACCCCCAGTTGCCCCAAACTTAGACAACCCCCACTTCTCCATTGGGCTTCACCTAAACTCACTCTGGTTTTAGATGTTTTATGGTTGCTCCTCTTCTGAGAAGGATAATGACATTGTCTGGTCTCAGAAACAGATGCTTGACTGGCAGACTCCGCCATTTTCCGCAGGGCCAGCCTAGCTGTGCTGAGTGGACTGTTTGGCAACCCGCAGGGGAGCCCTCTGTTGGCTGGTAGATGTAAACAAACATCCTGTGTCATGTCTGTCAAAATAAATATTTGGTTATTTTTTAAAATTAAAATACAACTTTTAAAAGAAATACTGTACTGTCATGGCTTGTGGAAGGCGTTTAACCCAAGACATGCAGAATCAGCTCAGGAGTCAGGAGGAAAGAAATTAAAGTCTTTTATTACACAAACGGGAACTAAAGTAGCACTGAAATCCAGTGAATTATGCCGTGGGGGATTGATCAGAGTTCTTAGCTCAGCGAGCTGCGGGGCAAGCGGGGTGCCAAGGTGACAAGTGTAGCGATCCAGCCGGACGGGAGGTGAGGAAGCAGAGAGGACAAATGCAGGAGCGGTGGAGGAGGATGAGACGTGTATGAAGGTCAGTGGTTCTTAGCAGAGTTTGGTGAAGGTTGTGGTGGTAATCCTAGGAGGGCAAACAGACGGAGCTTCAGGAGTAAGTTCAAAATCGTAATCCACTAAACAGTCCAAGGTCAAAATCCAAATAATCCAAACATGCGAGGTCAAACTTCTACGAGCAAACAAGTACGAGTGGCAGGTGTTACCAATACTGGAGTAATCATCCGGCTTCGACGTAGTGTCTCCATCCTCCTTTTAAACCCGAGCTCCAAATGATTAACTCAGCACAGCTGGTACCTCTCCGCTCCTCACCTGTGGAACACAGAACCCCAAAGATTGTTAATTGAGGAGGAGGACTCACCTAGACCCGAGAACGATGACATGTACCTTCATTTGGCACATCACTAAACATCCCTTGGAGCT